GACAGAGATTTGTCCTGACTGTGGGCAAGGCGAAAAAATCAAGCTACACAGTTCTGACTGGCCTGAAACTCACAGAGAACCACCTGTCTCTGCCTCCTGAATACTAAAATTAGAGGCATGTGCTGCTACATCTGGCCTTAAAATGTTTTTTTTCTTCAATAAATCTTGGAATTAGACTTATAACAGGACTTAGAAGACCAGAAGACATAACAGCATACTATGGTCAGATTATTTCTCCAAAACTTCTGCTTTGTGTTTTTAACCTCCCAATGCAGAAAGCTTCAGTGGTTCTCACCCAGTTAACTATCAAATGAGTCTAAATTCTGGGACAACACACAAAGGCTATCTATACTTTAGACTCTTTCCAGCAGCTCTTCCATTAACTGCCATATGCTAGTGTTCTACTTCCTTACTCTTGGTCATTAAATTCACTCACAGAACAGGAATAATAGTAGATTCTGTCTAATACTGGCATCAGAAGGATTAGCATAGTGTTCTGGCCCCTAGAAATGAATTTGTGGATGGAGCATGCTCCATCCTCCTCTTTAAAAACAAGATTATTTAAAAGTAACTATTTGCCATTTGTTTGTTCAAGTCTTTTCAAATTCAACTTAACATATATATCCAGAAGTTGCCTCTGTTTAAAACCAATGAAGTACATTATGTTCACCAACCTTGAATGAAACCCATTGTTTTGAGAACAATGAAGAAATACATTCCAAGCAACAAAATGAGATAGATACACGTAAATTCAAAGGGATGACATCAGTTGAAATGAAAATTAGTCTGTATAATCTTTGTACACACATTTGTCAAGTCAAAGTATTTTCCTCTCTGGGGTTCAGTTCTTGGGGAAAGAGGCAAACTAACTCTCTGTGTCTTATCTCTAATCTTCAAGAAAGAAATTTGCTTCTGAAAACAATTTAACTTAATAAAGAAAAATACTTCTATTCCAGAAAAGCATAGACTTTATTGTCATTTTTGATTAGAAAACTAGGGCAGGGAGCCCTGAGTACTTAATTAGAGTGTTGCCCAGTTGTTGCTGGTAGAAGCAGATGCCAGCAGGACCTTCAGCTGCTATGGGCACAGATTTCTCAAGATGGTTGCAAAGTCCAGGCACTGAGCTGGAGTCAGTAGCCACCAGTGGTGCCAGCTAGTGCTTCTTTGCATTGAGTATCCCTGAGTTAGGA